GGTGAATACTAACAAAACCAGCGAATCCCACAACAAGTAGTCGTGTAATGAAACATATTTGTTGAGTGAGTGAGTGAGTGAGTGAGTTAAAATTTATTGTCACATCGCCAATAGTTCAGCCAAATCGTGACGAGAAAAATTACTTGTTATACATAGTAATTGATGGTTAGTTATCAAAAAACTGTCAGCGAATTAGATTATCACAGATATGAATTTAAAACTAGTAATTAAATCTAAAACACTTTAACTATATATGTATATACAATATATAAACAGGCTATAGATTGCCAACAACTAGAGGAAGCTCACCATGCTAGGGATCATGGGGACTTCCAGTACATTTGCTTCCTGCATGGGCTCCAGCTGGATTTGAATCATACTTGCAGCCGTTAGCACATACTTGTAGAAGTACTGATTAGACAGTACTTCAGTATCAGCTAAACCACGTGAGTGTTTGAAAACACGTGTGTATCTGGCATTGGGGTCGACCTTGTCATCAGTATCCAGGTGACTGTTTGATTTCACGGGGGTATCTGGTATTGGGGTCGACCTTGTCATCATTATCCAGATTGTTGTCACAGGATCACTCATAGATGGATTCAAATGTCTCCTAGCTTACCAATTGTGGGTCAACGTATCCGATGGATAAATCAGTGCACATTGGTACCACACTGTACTATCACGATTCCTGTTTGTCTTTCCATCGGTTTCTATTTCAATTTTATTTATAACACACTTTATCCAAAAGTCTATCCGTTGTTTTGATGAAGCCTGACAACTGACTCATATTTCCACAGCACACTCAAACAATTCACAACTATAAAGTGCATTCTTGTTCATATTTTAGTTTCAGAAACGTTATGGACTTATACATATATAAATAGTACCAGTACTCCATTGGACTGTACGATGGACATTCATCGATTGACACTTGATACTCTTTCGAACAGATCACTTTACTTTTCAGGAATAAATGGGGGTATTATATTTTACTTAGCTGGATACATTTCTGGAAATATTTTGAGTGAAAAAAATGATTCTGCGAACCATTTTCTCACTTTGTAGTTTCCTTCCTATGAAGGATGACGTCCCTCCGTGATGGGAAGATTTGGTGCATGTGGCTGTTCTGGGCAGTTTACGTTCATAGCACTGTTTATGAAACGTACTACATATGCAAGAAACATGATGACAAGAGTGGGGAGACAAAGGAACCATTATACTCTGTTCTTGAAGATAACCTGGTTTCATGTGCCGTGACCTGTGGCACACACGGGAAATGTCTGTATTTTGTGTACAGCGGACACAGCAAACGATGTCGTGGTTACAGTGATGATCGTAAGTAGATAGTAGTGGAGTCACAGTCACGAGAATAATCTGTACATCAAACAGTTGTATTCTATTTCTATGAGTCATGTAAGATTTATAGTCACATCGGCAATATTTTAGCCATATTGTGACGTAAATAGTTATAAATTAACAATACACACAATTTATTTGAAGAAAAAACCCACTGACGTCAAAGGACAGTAAAATAACCTGATTATCACAGTTAGAGAATTGAAATGAGACAGATAGTACAGACAATACTATATCAAAACGGCTTGGAGATCAGCAGCAACTGAAGGTAGATCACCATGACAGGGACTTGTTTATATAGTCGATGCTGGACTAATTAATTTTGATAGCGCAATCAGGTGAAAAGTTAGTCATCGGGTGTGTTTTGCAAATTGTCGTCAGCAGTGAAAATCTGTTCTTCTCAATAACCGTTTGAAGTCACCTGTCATGTGGACAACAACAGATTGGTTTATCTTCCCCAACTAGTCTGCTTGGTAATTACAGGTGTACAGGGGGTTATTTAACTCTGGGAGACTGATATTATGAGAAAACTAGTTCAACCATCTATTCTATTTAATCGCCTCTTACAGGTGTTTAGTGAGTTTATTGAACACTCGACGGCTGATATTAAGAGCAAACTAACCGAACTAGCTGTCTATTGACTCGCCTCTTACAGGTGTTCAGGGAGTTTATTAAACACTCCACGGCTGATATTATGAGCAAACTAGCCCAACCATTTATCTATTCATTCACCTCTTACAGGTGTTCAGGGAGTTTATTGAACACTCCACGGCTGATATTATGAGCAAACTAGCCCAACCATCTATCTATTCATTCGCCTCTTACAGGTGTTCAGGGAGTTTATTGAACACTCCACGGCTGATATTATGAGCAAACTAGCCCAACCATCTATGTATTTAATCGACTCTTACAGGTGTTCAGGGAGTTTATTGAACACTCCACGGCTGATATTATGAGCAAACTAGCCCAACCATTTATCTATTCATTCACCTCTTACAGGTGTTCAGGGAGTTTATTGAACACTCCACGGCTGATATTATGAGCAAACTAGCCCAACCATCTATCTATTCATTCGCCTCTTACAGGTGTTCAGGGAGTTTATTGAACACTCCACGGCTGATATTATGAGCAAACTAGCCCAACCATCTATGTATTTAATCGACTCTTACAGGTGTTCAGGGAGTTTATTGAACACTCCACGGCTGATATTATGAGCAAACTAGCCCAACCATCTATCTATTCATTCGCCTCTGACAGGTGTTCAGGGAGTTTATTGAACACTCCACGGCTGATATTATGAGCAAACTAGCCCAACCATCTTTCTATTTAATCGCCTCTTACAGGTGGCCGATATTATAAGGACCATCCAACCATCTATCTATTTTGTCGCCTCTTACAGCGCATGTATGATGCGCATTGTTATGTCTGCTGTAGTCTCTGTTTATATTTTCTTGAAGTCTGTGACGATGGGCGACATGACAGAACAGCGGGAGGCGTGATGTACCAACACACATGCATGAAGAGATGCGCTAGTAAGTATCCTTTAATGTTAGGCACCTTTCGGGAAATTGCAGCCAGAGATCACAATGAACATAATGTTTTCACACATTAATAGTAATCATTTTTTTAAGAAAGGGGATTTTCGGTTGCTGTTTGAGCATGCTAGTTAAGAAACACAACAGCATGATAGATGTGCATACACAGTTTAAAGAAAGGTGTGGTATTTGTTACAAATGCTTTGAACGTGAACACCCCATGAAATTACACTGAACTTTTACTGTAGTTTTTTTAAACAACGCTATCTGAAATCATTTGGCTAAAAGCTAACATAGTTGAGCTGCAGAAAAGTCTTCCTCATCAAGCATACCAACGGGTACCTTTGGTATTTTGGAACCAGTGAAGATCTTGGTTAGCCTCAGTCTTCAGCAACCCATGTTAGCCGAGATCGCGATCGGGAGGTCAGACTCGCTGACTTGGTACCCCGATTGCATGGACCGATGTCCATGCCCTTGATCACTGGATTGTCTGCTCCAAACTCGAATATTCATCAGATGGCCGCTATATGGCTGGAATGTGACGTTAGGCAACAGAAGAAAAAGCTTTTTCTGAACCGTCAGAGTCGACTATGATAAGTATGATGCAAAATCTAAGCCGGCGAAATACATGTAGTATATTAATATTGTCTGGTCAACATATAGTTTCAAATATATGTATATATGTCACAGATATATTTTGAAAGACACAATCTGCTTTATGTTGAAATACTGACATTTCATTTTGTCAACTCTCCGAATATATGACAGCGCATGACAGATTTCAGGTGTGAAATGTTGTTAATCTCGACAGTGTGCCCCATAATAACCTACAATATAATAACTGTCCCAGTCAGATAAAGTATGAAACAATATTTAGGATAAACGTGGGTGATGTCGACAGCTCGTGGTAGTGACAGTGATCTTTCTGATTTCTCAGGGGCAGTTAATGTCAATCAATAATCTAGTTGAGAATGTTTCCCTTTATATACGCATGTGTTATTGCTCAACGAGAAGTTGTGTCATAGTACAGGTTTAATTATATCTTCTCTATCGCATTTGTGTCAAATCTCGTCTCTGCATTTTCGCATATTTTTACAATTTAGCCAATGCATATATATGACGAACTACAAAACAGAAAATGTGTTTCTAACCAGCTTTTATATTTTGATATCTTCACAATTAACGTTTATGTAGTCTGAATATGATTAAACTTACAGGAAATACAAGTGATGAGTTATCTCGGCATGACATGGAAACACATGACAAGGGCCGTAAGTCTGTAACAAATTGTAACATAAAACAAAGCATAGGCTTTGGTACTCGTAAACATTGTTCAAAATTTCACCTACAATTTTTGGGGTAGGGACGGCAAAGGTCAACTGATCGAAAGTTACTGATCCAATATGTAGCTGTACAATCATAAACTTTTATCTTGGCATTGGATGCATCCATTTCCAAATGATAATGGATGCTAGTCTTTCAAGGTTTAAGCCATATGCAGTGTTGTCAACTACGATAGATGTTTATAACCCGAATATAATGAATGTGGGAAATTATACTTTGAAATCAGAAAATAATATCGAAACGAAAGGCACGAGAATACTAATCAAAGGTCAACTAATCGAAATTTTCTGATCCAAAATATAGTTTTACAATCATAAACCTTTATGATGGCATTTGATGGCACTTTTATGATGGCGTTTTTCAAAGTTTAAGCCATATGCAATGTTGTCAGCTACGATAGGTGTTTATGACTCGAATATAATGAATTTGGGAAATTAAAATGTGGATAACAACTAATAATATCAAAAGAAAAGCGCAAAGTTGAGAGGAAAGCTCCTGCATAGAAACAAAAACAACACATATTGATCTATAAGGCACGAGAATATTAATCCCATACTGATTGATGATAATGCTAAAGGGACCAGAGATAAACAGTGGTTTCACCCCTTTCCAAACAACAGGGAAACAAACGACTTACAAGTTAACCTTCACGACCGGGAGCCAACGAGATTCTGATTCAGAAGCTGACCTCACTGTAGGCATATTTGGGCCGTGTGGACGAGTGTGTGTTGCACTGGAGAATGGGAAAGACGTCATACTACGGATGGGACGTCGTAGTACATTCACGGTAGGTTAACACACATGGAGAGGAAGGTCGCGATAGACCGACAGGCAATGAAGGTGAGCTAACAGTTCCCACCTGTAAAGATGCTGAAAGATGCTAACGTACACTCAGGTAAGCTGTCTGTTGGCCCCTGGAAACACACTGAAGGAACTAATTCAGGAATGCTAACTGTAATCTCATGAAACAACGACGCACACTGAAGTATTGACCGTTCTAGATATTACATAGCTGAAGAAAGCCATCTCATACTTCAGAAAATATAACAGTTCTCCAATGGAAAGCAACATTTAATGAAGAACGGCACCACATAGGATAAAACAAGAATGTACTCGAATAAAATATAGCACACTAACACACACCAGGTAGGCTGGCTGTTCTGGAACAGACTGTAGCTGAATAAAGTGATCACTTAGTGCAAGCTAAGTATTCTCCAGTGGAAAGAAGCTGTAGAAGACAAGTTTACGATCAATGAAAGTCTAAAGACAATTGATTTGGGGTCAGGTTTTGATAAATCACTGTCACGTTCATATAACATAGTAAGGTTTGTACAGTGGGCACTGCATTGGACGAACATAGATATTACGGAAACGGTATTTATTGTTTGGACTTAATACTGCAATGACTCAAAGGAGTAAATAATGTTTCATGTCCGATTTCAATGAATGTTTTCTTTCAGTTTGTTGACGATTCTGTATGCGGACCGAAAACCATTGATCTTGCATTTTCTAATCTCTGCCACAGGGATGACTGGTTCGTTGCATACGTGAGTTACAGAATTTGTGAATATTTTAGTGTGAAAGAATTATGGCTACACGCCCTATCGACACTATCCTAGCTGAATAGCTTCGAGAAGTTGTAATGTAATAAATGGTGTAATATACATGTATATTATGACTTCGGCTTTGGCACATTGCCTGACCTATATGTAAGAAGGACAGTGTACCCCACTGGGGACGATATGGCATTGACATCCACCATCGTGAACCCTTTCTGCAGCAAATATTTGAGACATTTTGTTACACAGACTCAGCCTAAGTACATATGATGGTTAAGGGTTCCAACTGGAGCAGAGAACATCTTTGACAGTCGCCAAAGATGCAGGTTTAAACTGACCAAATATATCATTTGGTATATTACTTGTTGTGGAGTTCAGTGTGTTTGTGGCGTTTCAGGTTGTAGTGGAGTATAAAGACATGGCTACAGGCGACAGAGACAGAGTGAAGTTTAAGGCCAACTACTGGCTGAGTGCAACTGAAGAACACGAGCACACAACTGGAATATCATGTTACCACATGGTTTCAGCCGGAATATTGTCCAGCATGCTTATAGATATTAAATGCCACCCTTCCCAGAAATGTGAACATTGAATACAGATATAATTCTGCCTGTTCTGTAAACGGTGATAGTTCTGTTCATACTGAATCTGTACGGCTGTCATGGTGATGATATTGCTCTCACTAAAGCATGGCAAGATGAATAAATACGCCTGCAACAGGTTGTCACCAATTGTACCTCTTTCTTGTTGGAGAACCTGAGCCTGGTGCACGTCGACTCCCTTGTTTCTATCGATACTCTAGTTCATATAATCATGCCTTCTGAGGAAAACATGTTTTGTAAAACAAAGCACACGTAAAATCTATCCGTGTGATTTCCTTGTACATCTAATCATAATATCTGTCATGTCATTGAAAGTATGTGTCGTGTAAGGCAAATCACCCGTTGGAAAATTCGAGAACATTTTATGTATATGTATATTTTTCAAATTGCCAAGAAGTGAAAGTCATATCAATTTCCCCAAATATCTACATCAAAACATAGTTAACAGCAGTGAGATGATTTGTATCCGTGTCGACACGTGTCCATGCGCAACAAATGGGAGGATACCCACTGAACAAGAGAATGTGTGTGTTAAAGATGCATGTTCAGGGCACGAGCATTTATAAATAAATAAAAATAAAAAGTTAGATATTATACGTACCTCTCTGCAAAGGACAGTAAAAGCAACTAGATTATCACGAAAAAAAACAAAAAACTAGCAATTAAATCTAAATTAGTTTAACTATAAATGAGAATACATTATAAAATCAGGCTATAGGTTGCCTGAAGGTAGATCACCATACTAGGCACCATGGGGACTTACGGTGCCGTTGCTTCCTGCATGGACCCTAGCTGTATTTACAACATCCCTCCAACCATAAATTAAAAACACACATATTCTACGAGTAACAAAGAGGAAAGTTTTAATTTATTTGGAATGAAATGGGACTTACATACCTTCTCAGGGGATAATAATTTCCGCTACTTCCATCCCCTGTAAAGGTAATGTCACTAGTGAGTGGAAGTCATTAATTCATTCTCACAAATAAAACTTCATGTTCTTCTTACAATACAAATTAAAATTCATCATGTAATAATTAAGTGAGTGAGTGAGTTAATATTTAACGTCACATCGGCAATATCTCAGCCATATCGTGACGAGACAATTTATACAATAAAAAGTGAAAAAAATTTGAAGATTAACATCTGTCGACGATGGACAGTAAAAATACTAGATTATCACAGATATAATATAAAACTAGCGAGCAAAGCTAAAACATTCCAATTGAAGAAGACAATACAATATAATACACGGGTTATAGATCGCCAACAACTGAAGGTAGATCACCATGCTAGGAACCAGGGGAACTTACATCACTGTTGCTAGCTGCATGAAGCCTAGCTGGATTTACACCATCCCTTCAGCCGCTGGCGATTGTAGGATAATTTAGCCGAAATTACGTACCCTCTCAGGAGGACAATAATTTTACACTACTTCAATTCCCTTTGAGGATACAGCCACAAACAATCTAAGTTGATAATTTGAACTACCAATTATAAAACTTTATCTATTTACAAAACATATATCAAAATTCAGTGAACAAATCTATCTCTTTTAAAAATTCAATGATTAAGTGATAATTAACTTTAATTTACCGTTTTGGTATTGAAATATTTATCTTTTATGACGCAGAATTCAACACAGTCAAGAAGGATATCTTGTTTGGCCAATACGACATCGTCGTATGATGACCTCCTCAAATCATGACTGACAACCCAAGTAGGTGTAACCAATATAAGGTGGATCCACAGTGGAGAAACATTTAGCTCCCACGAGAAGGATGGATAGATGGAAGGATAGATGGATCCACACACAAGAAATATTTGCTACAACAAGATGGAAGGATATCTTGTTTGGACAATACGACATCGTCGTATGATGACCTTTTCAAATCTGGACTGACAACCCAAGTAGGTATATCCAATATACGGCTCTATTTCATGTAACAAGCCACCGCGCCACCATCCTTGGATCCATCCGTAAATAAGCATTTATATGTTAGATAATTTACATTTAATTGATAATATTCTTGTTTATATTGTAAGTCATTAGTTTCTAATTTTTTTTTAAATTTAGTGAGTGTTAGGTCGACTAGTGGCCTAACCAATTGCCATGGAGGAGAAGAAAGAAGACGGGAAGGAGATATATTTTCCAGCTCAATGCCGGCAGCAGAAATGAATGGTTTACTTCTGAGCCCAAGAGGCGGAACAAGAGAAGACTTTTTGTTGTACAAATCCTCATAAAGAGGGATGAAAACACATTTAAATGCAGGATTAGACTAAAATCAAGGGCCTTCAGGCATTTAGCTTTAAGGGATTTAATATGCGGCAAAAAAGTTCAATGGGAGTCGAAAAGTAGACCCAACAACTTAGCCTTCTTTACGACTTTGATCGGAGTGCCATTTAAAGATAGTCCTGGGTCTTTATGAGGCTTATATTTTCTTCAAAAGTGTAAACAATTAGTTTGGTACTTGGAAAATTTAAAGCCGTTTTCAAGACACCATTTATTTTATTTAAACAAAACTGCAATTGCCGTTCAATAGTAAGCATAGTTTTACCACGACAAGAAATATTAAAATCATCCACAGAAAGTGATCCATCAATGGAATCTTTTAAAACCTTGGATAAACTATTGATCTTGATACTAAATAAAGTGACAGACACAATGCTGCCTTCATGGACACTCTAATCCTGATTGTAATGGTCAGACAGGCCATAACCCACTCGGACTTGCCTGTCTTTTAAAAAACTGTCATATAAAAAGAGGCAAACGGCCTCTCAAACCAAAATAATGTAAATCCTTTAAAATGCCATGCTTCCAGGTCGTATCATAAGCTTTCTCAAGATCAAAGAAAATTGATACAGCATGTTGTTTATTTACTATAGCATTTTAACAAAGGGTTCTAAACGTACCAAATGATCAATGGTACTACGATTTTTTCCCGAAACCACGTTGGATATTTGTTATAAGGTTACTGGTTTCAAGATACTGAATTAATCTATTGTTTACCAAACGTTCCATGGTTTTGCAGACACAGCTGGTTAGAGATGTAGGTCTGTAATTCGATTGATCCACATGATCCCGGCCAGGTTTTGGAATTGGGATGATAATGGCATTATGCCACGAGGTAGGAACATTTCCGGACGTTCATATTTGGTCAAATATATCTAAATTGTCATCAGACATGGTTCAGGCAAGTGTTTCAGTAGCTGATAATGTATATTGTCATCACCCGTTGCAGTGTCATGAGCTTGCTCAAGAGCTGTATGTAGCTCATGTAATGACAACACTTCATTATAATCTTCACGGTTATCTGATTCGAAATTAAGTTTTGTCTTTTCCTGTTGTTTCTGATATCTCTGAAAGTCGGGGACATAATTTGTCAATGAAGAGTTTGGCAAGAGTTTCGCCATGTTTATTTGCAATTTTAGATTTATCGGTTATTAAGTTATCAGCATCTTTAAGATGGTGAACAGCAGATTTTGAACCTTTGCCTTTTATTCTCTGAAGCATGTTCCACACCTTAGACATGGGCGTGCGTGAATTAATTTTGGAGACATATTTCCTCCAAGATTGTCGTTTGTTTTCTTTGAAGGTACGACATGCCTTCGCATTGAGTATTTTAAATTTATCTAAATTATGAACAGTTGGATGGTGGCGGGAATAATGTTTTGTCTTCTTCCTCGCTTTTCTGGCTTGTCTACAGTCTGTATTAAACCATGGTTTCCGTACGTGTGGAGTTGTAGAGGACTTTGGTATACATTCATCAGCTATTTCCTTTAAAACGTCAGCAAATATCTGAATGGCATCAGTTACGTCACTAAAACATTCGGGTCGTAGTTTCGATGTACATATATTTTGAAATCAGGCCCACTTAGCCTTCGGAAAATTTCATCCTGTTTATAATGGAGAATCAGATGGAGATATTTCTGAAATAATAGTTTGTTAATTGGTCACTATGGACAGACCAATCAAATTCATTTAGGAGGTTAGAGTCTGCAAGAGACAGATCTAGAGAAGAATAGGTTCCGGTTGGAGGATGCAGGTGAGTGCTTGAATCATCATTGTATATACATGAAGGCAGAATATATACAGAGCATAATGTAAATGCTACACCCAGAGTAAGTCGCAGTGCAGCAGCTTGGAGATTAGTTTTAAGTGTAACAGGGCTGTGAATAACATCCTGCCGTATAAGGATAGAAGATCCTCCAGTGGCCCTATCACCCAGAGGAGAATAATGATGATAGGCTGTAAAGTGGCGTAAAGTAAAATTATCCGTCTGTTTCAGATGCGTTTCTTGCAGACAGAATGCTGATGGTGTTAGATCTTGGACTGATAGCTGTAGTTCATTAAAGTTAATCTTCAGACCTCTACAATTCCACTGCACGATATTAGTAAAATGACCGATCTATTGGGTGGATTGATAGGGGGACCTACCCCTCACTTTCTATGTGCCCTGGGATGGATGCTTTCTGACACATCCATGTCCTCGAGTGAACCATATTTGTTATATAATTGTATACGGTTTTCTTAACTCTTAGAGGGTCTACCACCTTTTGCACACGTTCCGTCCTAGGTTTAACTGTATTTTTCACCACTTTCTTTGAACTGAACAGTAACTGAAACGTAGACTCCAGCAAGTGTTTCTGTAGTCATCAGGTTGGTGGCTTGTTGTTTCCTAATGCAATCGATCAAGCGTTGTATGTTCTTCACTTCACCTGCGATGCCATATATACCCTTAGAAATCACAAAAGGATTCAGCTGCTCATCATAATTATCGAGTGGACGGTTTGTTTTTTTGGGTGGGGTTTTTGTAATCCATGGTAAGTTTAACTTGATTCATTATCCGGGCTCCCCACCCACCACGGAGTTTCACAAGGGCAATGCTAATCACAAGTGGGTTTTCGACTTGTAGCACCAAGGATACCTGGATAATATACTCAAGCAGAATAATCAACAAGCAATTATTCTACCAGATTGGCCCATGAG